TCCCCCCAAAAAATCAATTTAATACTTTAGATTCTATGTAATCATGTATGTTTCAAGAGAAAATAGCAATAACGTAGACTACAATCTTTTTATGTTAAAACATTACCAAAAATGTTGCCTTTTTCTTTGGGGAGATACGAACAAATTACTGGCATTTCCATTCACTTCAATTTGTAATTGGAAAAAATATTTGAGATAGTTACTGTGATCAAGGAATGAATTAAACTTGAATCTGAAACATTGGTGTGTCCTGCCCATTTTTAGGGTGCGGAAGCGCCCCTAAAATAAATCCAAGCATCCCCAAACTCTGAGAACATTTAAGATTTTACTTAGGGTATTTCCTTTTTTCCAACAAGCTAGAGAAGTGTTAAAATTACATGGTAGTACATGGTATAACCATAATATATGCTCATTGAAAATACAGTCAACTCCCTTTGGTCTCAAAAATGGTTTGATTCACCCAAATCCCTCCCACCTCTTCGTGCTCTGAGCCAAGCACAAGGAGTGAGCAGTCTTTCAGTCACATGGAGTAGATTGAGTTGCTACCAATTTATCTTCAACAAATATATTTGGCAAATGTCTCCACTTCTGCCACTCACTATCAACACATTATCATTACCAGACTTCATTTTTGCTGCATTTAACCATAGATCACTGTTTAAGTTATTAGGTAAGCAGTAGTTGGCTGTGACTTTTCTTTTTTTTCGAGCTTGGAAATGTAACACGTGAGCAAACATGTGATCCTCCTCTTCCTAATCTGCAACACAGATTTATTCCTTCTCATCGGCGAATGCACTTTTGATTCTGTAAGCCGTTTTACCCCACTGGGTTGCACTGTAGCACAATCTCCCTCTGGACCGTCCATCATGTTTTATTCCTCCATAGATAGAAATGAAAAGATAATCAAACCGTTGTAGGGGTGCCTCCTACAGAGAACACCCCCCCCCCCCCCGCCCCATCCCCACACACACACCTGCAATAAAACTCAGCTAATCAAAAATTATTGTGGCCCTCTGAAAAGTGCCATAAAAACAGCAATTATCGAAGTGTTTGGCTGCTGTCTGCCTTACGTGCGCTGTCATGGATGTGGCCATTTAAGTTCTTTATGGGCCTTCCATGCAGAAACCGTCGGGAACAATAAAGACGGGGAGATTTTCTTGGGAATGTGGGACGAATCTGAACCTAAAGCTGTCTCCAAATGGTGTGAATTTTACTTTTTTTCCCCCCCGGTTGTTTTCTTCATAATTTGGACCAGAATATTCTACATTTTACATTCGGGGTGAGCTCAGGCCGTGCTGTAGGAAGTGAGCGATTCATCGAGGGTGGTGGGTGGAGATGGAGGGGGAAGAGAAATTTATGGGGGTGAGGAGGGAGACGAAAGTAGGCGAAGGAGAGTATCTTCTGAATAATTCAATGTTCCCTGTCTGAATGAGTTAGCATCACTGAAGTTCAGGGCAGCAAACACGACGGTACCTCTGAACCTGCTTTACCTGTGCGCTCTCGGCTGCAAGGTCACACCTCCACGTATATGCATACGGTATGTTGCATGCGCATGCACAGAACAAGCAAACATAGATCTTTACCCACCGTTTCCAACATCTTGCACAAACTCTGTTACATGTTTGCATGTCAGCTCAAGCACTTAAAAACAAAAAGGAGCGAGTCTCTGTGGTGCATGTGGTGAATTATTCAAGTGTTGAGGGAAGCGCTGTGGGCTGCTGATGAGGCTGCAGGTGACCCTGCAGCCAGCAGCAAGGACATGGCGGCACCTCCCACTGCTGTCATTTTGGGGAGGATCTCTATTGAAAATGTATGATTTGGGTGACACTTCCGAACAGTGCTTGTTGCCATGGATCTTGCAAGTCTTCTGGTTTCATGACTCTAGATGCTACTTGAAACAGCTTCAGGATATTGTCAAACAAAACCGTTCAGTAGCCTCACAGGACACATTATCTCATGAGATGAAATGGAAAAAGTATCAATAATCATAACTGTCACCATCCGAGAGGTATTAATTTAACAACGTTAATTATTTAGTGTCTGTTATAGTGGCTGAAAACTACAATTGCAACAACAAACCTCCAGTGTCTCCCAAAAGTCATGATACATGTCCTTATTTGCTGCTTTGTTTCCAGGAATCATTTGGACTTTGCGTTTTGTGTAAGCATGTCATTCCTTGCTCATGGTACATCAATTGACATTGGAGTAGCGTTGCAAAGGTGCCACCTAGCAAGATGTTTCTTCTTTTTTTTTGTCCCAAATTGGAATTCATTTGGAATTCAATTTGAGAAGCTTTAAGGCCACCAACATGTATCACTGATAGTTCCATGTACTAGTATGCTCTTTGTCCTCACTAGTACGATCATTTAAAACTCTACAGATAGGAGTAATTCTATAACCGCACAATATTTTGTAAATGTTGAGGCTGATCACAGTGGAAAAAATACAACTTGCATTTTTGGGGGGGGGGCTAAAACAGTAATTTGGAACAATTTAAAAATATAAATAATTTACATTTATGGCAATTTTAATTAACACAACAAAGCAAGCTTCAAAACAATTTGCTGAAATGTACATTTTTTTTTTTTTTTTTTTACAATGACATAAATCTTCTCAAACCGGTGCAGAATTTTAGTTGGTACAGAAAACCTTGCCAGGCAGAAATTTTGCCACACTCCAATTTCAATTGACGAGTTATTGCAAAAGGAATGAATACGTCCAGAAATGTCTCATCTGTCAAATGCTGATGGCCTCACGTCTATCCGAATGTTACCTGATATGAAATAGAAAAAAGAAAGTATGTAGTAATGTAGTAACTTTTGGGAAACCTTTGTTATTCGAGATACTTTTTTTTAAGGAAAAAAATGGCACGGATAAAAGGATAACATGGCAACCAATCTGATTGATTTTACTTGTTCAAAATCTTTTTCTTGTCATTTTTATTTTGAATAGTCTTCACAGTACAAGCATGGGGCAAAAGAGACATCGCAGGCTGTGCAGGCCAAGGTGTCTGCCGACTGCAAACCTGAGCGCGTCAGGCCAAACCAGCCAACCAGAAAGAAGCAACGTGGACAAAACATCAGGCCAACCAAAGTGACCTTCGCTAAGCTACCCAAGCACCAAATCTCTGAAAAAATGCCACAGGTACCCCGCGGTAAGATTTGTGATTATACTTACCTGTTTCTTTTTTTTATGTATTTATTTTTGCAGGAACAGGCAGTCAAAAGAAATAAATTGTAAATTGTTTATTAGAAGCTCGGCATTTGAATGTTTCGTAGTCCACTCATTCCTTCTTACTTTGTAATTCCTTCTCAGTCTTTGAAATAATTGAGACTGATTTAAAAAACATATACTGTACTGTATATTTTTGGAGAAGGGATGTAAAAATCAACACGAGATCTCAGTTGCACAAGTGTGCACAACCTCTTATAAATACAGATGTTGCTGTGTGCAGAATTAACCAATCACATTCAAACTCATGTTAAATGGGAGACATCACACCCGCCAACATTTCAAGTGCTTCTGCTTTACCCCCAATAAATGTGAGCCGTTCAATTGTTTTTCTAATGAAATGACTTTCTGACAAAAAGCCTCAACCTTTTCTCGATTCATCAATCTTTTTTTTTCTTTTTGTTTTCCAGGAACTCCCCCCAAACCGCGCTTGCAGACGTCACAGAATTGCATTTCTGACACCCACTGTAATCGAGAAAAGTCCAGCTCAGGCATCCCCACACCAGAAAAGAATTCAAAAGCGCACATCATTAGCCCCGTTTTCAACACTGTGACTTCCACTCCCCTTCTGTGTCCGGCGCCTCCTCTTGTCCGCCCTGCGACATCTGCAGTCCGTCCCCGGAGAATCCATCAGTTGGTGCTGAAACCCGCCGTGATCGTTTTGCGTCCTCAGCATCTTCCCCAGCCGCCGCATCCTCACCCTCGACTCCATGCGTGGAGGACCCTGGCACCGACGTTCCCCTCCTCTTGAGTGATGGGAGGTTGTCCCAAGGACTCGGTGCTCAAAAATAAGATGCAGGTTTAGGTCTGATTCTAAATTAAGCTAAGCCAATGTACACTGAAGCCCCTTTTCCATTGTCCGAGCTCGACCCCAAAACAGCCTAGTTCCACCCTGTCTGGTTGCTTTTCCATGACACTTTTTCAGGGCCGGGTGGTTAGAATGGAGCTGTTCCATGGAACATCTTGCAACGTGGTTGTAGAACGCGGGCCGTGGAGGGCTGCGACATCACTGTCATCTGATTAACCGACAGATGTACAGTAGGTCTTTCTTAAAGAGATGCAGCAAGGAACTGAAATTCACACCCATTTCCTGGTTTTAAGCGAGCAAGTCAAGTTTTAAAATGCATTTACAGTCCACATATATTGTCAAGACTCATCCATCCACATATCCTCACAAGGTTCACGGGCCAGATTTGAACCTGCTGCCTCTCAACTGTGAGGCATTGTGTTAAACAGTCGTCCACCATTCCCCCTTATAATACGTCACCATATTTACAATTTCATAGGTATCAATGCATGAAATAGAGTTTCAGGAAGCAACGCACACCTCACAGGTCCATTCACTTGAATGAGAACGAGCGCTCGATTCAAATGAATGACAGGACTGCAACAGGAGGGCGTGGCGTATCCCGTGGAATCTTCCAGTGGGCTTGACTGCGATGAAGACGTCCTTCGGCTGCAGCCCGGAGCCACGGCAGTCCCCCGACCTGACGGTTGTGGCGGAGTGACGGCTTGTGCCGGCCGCCAGAGGGCTTTGGATGTCAGATGATGATGATGATGATGATGATGACAAGCTGTCGATGGCAACCACTTGGACAGGTTGATGGACCCGATGAACGGAATGCACTGCTTGCGAGCAATTTTTTTCACTATTTCATTCATTGGTAAATACTCTATGAAATGGTAAATATTGTTGTGAAACACAATATATGTGTACAGAACCCCGCATACTGCGAGTGCAGATTTTGGTTGATCCCACCCCAGTCCCGCCCTAATTGATTGCCGCATGTGGGAATAGCAACGGAGGGCAGGCTTGGCCCAGTGAGGCTGTGGTAAAGCCGGGCCAGGCCGTTCTAGAACCTGTTAGGGAAAACACCGTAATTTGTCCTTCAACAAAGTGCTGCAGGGTTTGCTTCAATTTGGGGAGTTTGGGGGAATTAAAAAAATTATACATGAATTTTTGTAAAATAATTATTATTCATATATTAAGCCTCTGTGGGCTATGGATGGAAGGATGGATTTGACCATTTTATCTTCCCACTGGTGTGGATTTTGTCCAATTTTGTAAATCTTTCAATATAGCAATAATATATTGTTTACCTAGAACTCTCCCTTTTGGCTCTATAGTGGCCACTTTGGGCTAATTTAAAACCATGAAATCAACATGAAGTCCTTGTTATTTACTAGATTGGGTAAAATGACTTTGAATCTAAGTTCTAGATTCCACAATTTTGGTTGTTTGTGTTTTCTGCCAGATCCCATCATGTATCACTTTTTTTGGGACAAGGAAACAATTTCATGTTACATTGAGTTCCAAAAGAAGTATTACGAAACAAATTGTATGGTACAGCATGTTCCAACGTTTAATCAACAGACAACTGTGCCGGTGAAGTTGTACAGTTTGTAAAAACAGATGAGCAAATTGCACAAGACTTTGGTGTAGCTCACGAAAGTCTTGGATTTAGTCATATCTCAACTATCTGAGTTGGCATGAATTACCCTAATTGTTTCCTATTACTTTCCACGGCATGAATGTTTTTAAATCTGTTTGCACCCACTGGCCGGGTCATGGCAGTGTCAAATGTCAAAACAATTCTCACAACGCGTATAAATAACAAGAGGCTGCAGCTCCTTTCTTTCTTTTGCCGATGCTTTTTTATTTTCACAACAGATAACATTTACATTGTTGATGTGTGATGACGGAACCTGAAATGATTTACAGCATTACCCCCCTCCCTTGGTTTTGTGTAAGTTTGGACTGCATTCACAAGTATGTGAGTTGAGTGCAGGTGTTGGCGCGCGCTGGCCCTTCAAAAGCAGTGACCTCACACTGTCTGTACGCAAAGCTGCTTGAGCATTTCTTCCATTTCTTTGATATATATATCTTAAGGTCCATGTAGTCGTATGCTCTTTATCAGTGCTAGATGTTAACTAGTACGTTTTTAAAATTACTACCACTAATCATACCATGAAGATGTCAACTGTGCACGCTTGGACATCCGCATGCTATTAATGCTACTAGTGGCATTTTCAAATTCTAGCTACTTAAACTACTAGTGACATAAAATTGTGCTAATTGGCTAGTCACACTAGTTGGACAACTTTGGCATACGAGTAGGACAACTACGTTGCTAGTAAGGCAAGATGATGCGCTTGTCACATACATCTGTGTTCTACTATAGTCATGGAAGTTCCAAAAGTGACAGAAGTTTGTCAGCAACACTACAAGCGACTTCATAAAATTGTTCGAGTTAACATCTGCGGCTTAGCACAGATGCCTTCCTAGGAACACATATTTGTCCTACTAGTTCTATGAACCTTAAAATAATATCAAATGAAAGTTCAAACAGCTTTATAGATAATTCCTCACTTAGTAAGACCATTCAGCACAAGAGTACAACTAGGTTGCACTAGTCGAACGACTGTCTGTCCCCTACTATGATACTATACGTTTGTCAGACAACTTTGGCATCCTAGTAGGACAGCTACATACATGTCAGTAGGCAAAACTACTTGTGGGCATGTCGGTACTACTAGTGGAGTCTACGAGGCTACTAGTATGTGTCACATGCCGACGAGTTTGGTCTTGTCATGCCATTAACACAGCACAGTTGCTTACTAGTAAAACATAGTGCACATTAATGTGTCAAAAGTGGGAGTAGAAAGCTTTAGAAATCATGACTAGGAAGAAACAGTCACTTGACTCGTGTGCTAAGCTGTCTTTCGAGTGAGGACAAAGAATGTACTAGCACATGGATATTAAGCTAGATCTCAAAAATATCGAGTGATCGCTCAAACAGCTTTGCATAGCGATGTCCATTTACTTATGTGTATTTTTTTTTTTTTTATTCAAGTGGGAGATGACGGACAGAGGAAGCAAGCAGGGTCTTTCACGTCTGACCAAATTGGGCGGTGCCGAGTTACGAGCAGCCTTTATGGATGTTTTTTTGTTTTGGCTTTGACAAATGAGCAGCAATTTGAGATACGAGTGCAAGTCACTTCACATTAAACAGTAGCTTGGGAAATAGTGAAAAATTCTTTGCCATTTCAGGCCAATCCCAGTTGAAGTTTACTGTCAAACTAAACCAGAAACAAACGCAATCACATGTGTATTTAAAACAACCACATAGCTTTGCCTTAAGTCTGCTGAGCTTTATGCTAAGAAACAGCATAGACGGGCTAATGGCCGGCATCTATGTGGTGGTGTTACAACGCTTGAAGCAATGGCTATTCAAACACAAATGGTGCAGTATTCTTTATCCTTTGTGTATAGACAGCTAATATTACTGCATTAGTGGGTGACTTACAGTAGTTGTGAAACTATTCTTCATTTGTGCATGACTCTACGCCAGCCCACGACCCTCGTGAGGATAAGCGGTTTGGATAATGGATTGATGGATGGATTGATGGATAGATTTTACTGCCCCGGAGGCCGATTTGCGATGCGTAGTTCAACTCTTCACTTTCTATCCATCCATCTATTATGTGATCCTCACGAGGGTCGCGGGCGTGCTGTCTTCGGGCAGTTGGTGGGGGACACCCTGAACCGGTTGCCAGCCAATCGCAGGGCACAGAGAGACGAACAACCATCCACGCGCACACTCACACAAAGGGACAATTAAGAGTGTTCATTCAACCTACCATGCATGTGTTTGGAATGTGAGAGGATACCAAAGTACCCGGAGAAAATCCATGCGGGCACGGGGAGAACATGCAAATTCCACCACACAGAAAGGCTGGGGCCGGATTCGAACCCATGACCTCTCTTTACATTCCACCCAATTGTAATTTCATGATGTTATTAGTAGATATTTTTAAAAAGTATTAGAGTGCTCTTTCCTTATTATTAGTTTAAAACCTCTGTTGTGTGGGGAAAGATAATTTGAGAGTGTTTTGAGTTAAAAGCGCGGTCAAATTTAAACTCGTATCTCAAGGCACCACTGTCAATGAAATGATCTGCCCTCTCTTGAGCCCATATAAATATTTTGTGTGTCTACGTGAAGATTCCTGAGGACATAGTGACATTTCGACTGCTTGCAATGTGACATTATTTTCAACTCAATATATGGAGAATATTTTCAGAGTCATTCCTGTAAAACAACATTGAAAATGTTGAGAGGCTGGGAGCCATGGCGAGGAGTTTATTTTCTTGTGCCTATGTTCATCCACTTACGCTCACATGGAGAGGACTTGTGCTGACAGCATCTACTTGATGTGTTTCCACCACTGGTGAATGCTCTGACTCGCATCAACATAAAACCATCAAGGTAACATGCAGAATCAAAAACCCACATCTATCATCACTCCCTCTTTTGTGCCTGAAATGATCCTCTTCCTCCACATATTCCATTGAGAGTACTCGATTATTACAATCAATTCACACAATCATCTGCGAGGGTGATTTCTAACCCTTTACCAGCATACAACGTATGGAGCCATTTAAACGGCAATTAGTGGGCAAGTGCGGTTGCCGGAAGGTTATCTGGTAACACACAACGTGAGGCTTAGGTGACGCCGCCCTTCACTCAGATGCTGATTGAGTGCGAGTGTAGAAAGTGATTCCATGAATCACTTCTGAGCAGCATTGTGACCGGAGAGCACTTTTCCCCCCGAAAGACAAATAAGTGAGCAAGTCAAAGTTGAACCAGCTATTCCTCTTCAATTAAAAACACCTTTCATCATCTGGCACATTTGACTGTTGTTCTCGTTTCCTTTTCTTTTTTGTTTTTGTTCAGAATGGTGTTTGCTAACATATATGTACATCACTGGTTACCATGGCAGCAGAGGCGCGTGTTGTTTGGGTGGGCGGGTGGTGCAGTGCTCACTGATGAGGGTCATTGCTGAGGGAGTTCTGATGGCTGTTTCTTGGCTTTCAGAGTGTCTATCAGAGACTGGACGCCGCGCTTCACGCTGGTGCTCACTCGGCGGCTTACCGAGTCGGCGGCAGGCGAGGACGAGGAGCCGGCCCGTTGCAAGGGCGGCCGCGCCACCAGACACTTCTGATACCGTAACTGAAAGAGAAGGAGGCGGGGTTCAATAAGCAGCACCTACGGAAAGCCGTTTGAGCATTTAGTTGATATCCATTTTAAGTACTGTACCAGTATGCTCTTTGTCCTCCTAATGTAATGTATCCACAATACTGTCAAGGTTTCTGGTTCTTTTTTTAAACTTTTTTCTACAGGGTAATCAGTCAAAGACATGAATAAGATCTTACCACACATGCTGCCTGCACGGCTTCTGACACACATCCAGCGTTGGGGTCACACCAGAACACATGGCACTGGAAGTGTTGGTTTCCTGTGTCCATGATGAAGGCAAACGTGTGGATGTCCCGCCCGACTCCCATGAAGGATAGGAAACGGACCCGACACTCCACCAACGCTTCTTCCTCCTCCTCCTGCACAGCAAGTCATGAAGAGAATTCAACTTATGTCTTCTATATGTCATTGATGCATGACCCGTCTAATAGAAAGATTCACCCAATCCAATCCATTTTCTAATCCGCTTATCCTCACGAGGGTCGCGGGTGTGCTGGAGCCTACACCCTTGCCAGCCAACTGCAGGGCACACATCGATGAACAACCATTCGCGCTCACAATCACACAATTCAAAATGTTCCATTCGCCATGCATGTTTTTGGACTGTGGGAGGTACCCGGAGAAAACCTCAGGTATGGGGAGAACATGCAAACTCCACACAGGAAGGCCGGAGCCGGAATCGAACCCTGCACTTCTGCACTGCGAGCCACAAAAAAATTGCTGAGATTGATACACAACTCAACATGGGATAAGTGTATATACTTAGTACTACATAAACACGTCATTCAGCATGACCTGTCACACTCACTCAAGTTAATATCGAAACACTCTCACACAGAACTAAAACACTCCCACACATTCTGAAACACTCTCATACACACGACTGAAATGCTCTCACACTCACTACTGATTTTTCCTTCACACATGACTGAAATCCTCTCATATATTACAGCAAAATCCTGAAAATTCAGTAGTGCGTAAGATAGTGTTTTAGTAGTAAGCATGTAAGCGTTTTTAGTCGTTTGATGGAAGCGTTTCAGTTGCATGTACGACGCCATTTCAGTCGCGTGTGTGAGAAATAAACCTAAATTATGATGGGCCGTCATAGATTTCCGTGACATGTCACAACCAAGTCTTAGCTTTTGGCTCAAAGGGAAGGTAGCAAGGAGTAGTTGATTTGGTATCGCGTGTCTGTGGCACTGGTGCACCAGTTACGGCTCACGGACCCCCGGGGGTCCCCGGCCCTCAGTTGGAGCATCACTGCTGAACATAATACTGTATGAATCCACAACATGCCTTTTCTTTGATAACAGCCAGAGTGGTGTCAGCAATGCTCAGAATCACAGGTGTCCAGTCCTCCTTGCCTGTGGAGGACAGCAGGCTGTCAATGGCTCCGTTGATGATGTCCATACCTGGAGAGAGAATGCACACAGGGGAGCATGAAACAAGAGACGACGGCGGAAGGGATTTATTGCAAGTCAGAAAGAGAGTCTTGGGTTTTAACAGTGGGCTAATTTGTACCTATGGGCCGATTCACTGATGTCATCCCCAGATAGAACACGTGGAACTTCTGCACCAGTTCAGTCTTTGGCATTGGAAATTCTGCAGAGCAGAAACCAAACATAAAACTCACATTTTTACGAACAACAAATAACAACATGTAACAGAGCTCCTAATGCTGCATTAATTGCTGCAAACCAGAGAAATAAAGAGGCTTGTGAATATTGTGGGTGCTGCTGGCATGATTAGGGCTGGATGTTTTCTGGGTGGAATTCCTGCTGGGTTTGTTTACGTGGAGGCTTGCAGGCGGAACAGATTGCTCAAAGATGGCGGATCACCTGCATCGGCATCTACATTGGGAAGGGAGTTCAAGTAAATTCATACTCCGCCCACGGGACCTCATTCTTTGCGGTTGAAGTTTGGAGTTGTACACAGCTGCACCATATCCCATGAAAAGGTGTTTATATTCCACCCATGCAGTTACACGTAGTAGGCAAAGTAATAGAAACAGCTCTCCCCAATTTTCTAAATGTAATAAACCTGTTCACATATTGCCCATTTTTCATAATGAGCTTTGGCCCAGTTTGCACCAGCGGCATCTTAATTGGTGCATTTCAGAGACTAGAAATTCATCATGAGCTCAACTCCGTGATGACTCTGGATGAATTATGGCAAATCAATCTGGGATGATGTCTTTTACTTGGATTCACTGCATCAGAGTGCACTCACCCAGAGTTCTTCATATCATTTCCATCTGCACTTTCAGGAAAACATTAGTTACAAGGATGGAGTTTTATTTATACTTGAAGGCCCAGGGAGGACAAACAGAGGATACAGCGGGGTCATTTTCCTGATATCAGCAGCATTCCCACCTCAGCTACCCTTTGAGAGACCCACGCGCAAGAACATGAAGGAGAAGCCATGCATCCATTTTCTATAGCTCTTATTCAGTTCAGGGTCGGGGCGGGGGGCGCTGGAGCCCATCCCAGCTGACATCGGACAAAAGACAGATTGCACTTTGGAATGGTTGCCAATCAATCACAAGGCTCATATAGAGACAGACAATCATTCACACTGACATTATCACTGAGCGCAACGGAATCCACATTGGGGGTACACAAGTCCCGTAGATGACCCATGCCATCAGTGATTTTGGATTACCTACAGTATAAAGCTAATGCCCAGTAATTTTTAGTCTTACAATTTGGAGTTTAACTCTCCCCCCCCCTTTTTTTTTTTTACATTAATTGCGTAACTTCTTATACTTGTATTAAGAACATTAATAATGTTCAAAAGATACTCCTTTGCATTGCACCTTTGTGATTTATTGTTAAAGTTATACTGAATGTTGCTTGATGGTGGAAGTTTGAAACTGGAAGGAATTCTTAACTGGACTTAACAAATGCATTGTGCTGGATTAAAAAAAAAAAAGAAAAGCCACTGTAACATTTAATTCAAAAATTCTTTTGCATGCCACTAATATACACTGTTTCCTCCAGAATAATTGTTTCAAAATAACAATTCAAATGTTTGATAAGAGTCATGGACAAGGACACCTCCTCTTGGACAACCAAAAAGTTACAGAGTTAAATGATGCAAGGGATGCTTGATGTTTTGATCACCGGGTTGGGATGGGGAGCACTTCACCTCAAACAAGCACTAATTGGTTTCTAATGAGCTTTACTGCCTCGATAAGTGGAGAGTCGATATCATCCTTCCCTTATTAGAGATGCTGGAGCTCCTTTGCTCCGAGAAGATCTTACATTCAAGTATGACTTCTGATGATGTTTTTCTTTCTTCCTGTGTAATTACAACTGAGAGGAAGCCATAGGGCGACTATAAGCAAAATAGTAATCGCTGACGACTCTCTTTCTCTCTCTCTCTCTATGTAAAACAGTTGTAACTTGGGATGGGGAAGAGTCTTATAATGCGCGACAAGAAACCGTGTAGGGAAACCTGGCAAGCAGCCGACAAATCATCTTTTCCCATGGGGGCACTACAAAAGAATACGAGTGTGTGCGTGATTTTGTGTGTGGGTGCGTACCTTGTAGGGGCACATCAGAGCCCGCCTGGGAGGAGCCGCCAGCTGCAGCCTTGGCACTTTTTCTTTCAGCCATAATCTAAACAATAGAGAGGGGGCAAAACAGAATTATAGGTGAGAAGAGCACAACAAAGCACAGGAATGACTCACGCAGTGAGAGGGGGAAGAAACAAGGGTGGATAAGAGGAGACAACAGGGGTAAGGCAAAACAGACATTGTGTGTATTTGTTCATTTACTACGCCTAAAGTAGTGGATACATAAGAGATGTACTATTGGTTTTAAAATAATGCAGGAGAATAAGTGGTGCAATGGCTTACGAGTTTAATTCATTCTGTGACGACATAGGTCACGAATACTCATATCTCAAATCAACTTTGCCCATTGCAATGACTGGTAGCACCATACAGTAGCATACTTAAACATAACAATCAAATAGAATGCAACTAATCCAACTCTTTGTGCATCAGGATTTAACGCATTCATTTTGTGGCTCCTTCTTGTGTGTCCGCCTTGGCCACCAAGGGGCAGTATAATACTTGCAGACATTTATCCGCAAAGAAGACTGTCACAACAGCTCAGAACGCTGCAGTAATATTAGTCATTTTTCACAGACGATAAAGAATGCATGCGAGGGAGGATTATTTATATTGTCTGTCTACATGTGTTGCTGCACTCTTTGTGTCCAAATATCCATCGCTTAAAAAGTTCACACTTCCACAAAATTAATGTTGTTAGCCCATTAATGGCGTTCTGCAATGTGCATTAGCATTAAGCTAGTAGACTTCGTTCAGACAAAGTTATGTTGGTTTGGTTAATTTTCTTTTTTGTTACTTTTCTAGTAAATGTCAGATGGAAAGGGCAATAAATACCTTCAAGCAAGTACTTTTTTGAAGAAATGCTGACAATTTGTCAAACAGTTGCTTCTTGTGAGGTTGTGCTTGTAACAACAATTTTTTGCTCACCACTCAAGCAAAAAAATGTGCGTTTAGACATTTTTTTTTGTATAAAGATGACTTTTCCTTTATCGTAATTTGACATGATCATTTCAGGGTTTTCAGTTTGAATATGCAATCACATGATCAGTGAATTCATCCATTCATCCATTTTCTAATCCGGTTGTCTTCACAAGGGTCGCGGGGGATGCTGGAGCCTATCCCAGCCGTCTTCGGGCAGTAGGCGGGGTACACCCTGAACTGGTTGCCAACCAATAGTTCTCAGAGGCTAATTTCAGCAGAAGTAATAATGGCAGCGTCATACTTCATCATTCATTGAATATTTGTCGAATTCTGAATTGAACTGTGTTAACAGATGCGACCTGTTTTCCTGCTTCCACTTGGCTGCCTTTCTGCTGCAGTGATTGCAGTCTTAAAGTGCATCAAGGAGTGTGTTGTTTGTACGCCATCATTGTGCTCGCTTTGTATGCAAGAGAGTCTCTAGTAATTACCAGGTGTCATTAATCAAAGTGTGTGTGCGGTCCATCTGCGTCTCATCTCACGGGAAAGTATAAAAATATGCACACCCACAAACAGCACACACAGCACACACTCCACAAAGCAATCACTGGGGCTGAGTTGGTTTTTAACAGAGGAGAAAGCAGTGTGAAGTCAGAAAGACAAAAAGTTAGGCACTATTTTCCTTTTGTTTTTATGTCTTCAGAGTGGCGTTATACAGCGGTCTCCCATTTATTCACACGGATCTTTGCATTTTAGTTGAACTCTGCAAGGTCTCACTGCTACAAAGGTTGAAGAGTAGAGGGCAGGTGAGACAAGGCTTCATTGTGTGGTCTCCCGCTGCGCATTCACAGATGGTTGTAACAACCCTGCATTGTCCCGTTGTTGTTCTCAAGTGGTTCAGGGTTTTCCTTTGGGCCCATGGTGCGTCTGAGCCAGGAGGGAGTTCCACAGCACTTCATTTCTGCACGTCTACTCTACTTTTAGCTTTTCCAAACAGAGCTGGAGTGTTTCCTCCAGAGTTGTGGTTAGAAGATGGACATGGCTGAAAAAGCTTCTTCTTAATTGTTTTTATTTTTTTCACAGTTTTCAATAACACACGTTTCCTATTGCATACAAAAACATTTCCACTTTGCAGCTGGGCATATTTTTTTACACAAACTACAAATAATAAATGGAAAATACTGACAATATTACAAACAGCAAATACATAAATAAATAATGAGTCCTCTCTGAACAACAAAGCCACCGTTGTGCACTTCATTGTATTAGTTGGGCATGACAAGTTTCCAACGTTTGGTTCATATAGCTTTTTGAAGTCTTAACGAATATATGAATTTGCTCCATCTGATAAATGCCGCATATTTCCTGACTCCATAGATTATATGTGGGGGGTGGGGGGGGGGGG